ATTGGTGGATGAGCACCAAATGGCTTTTCTGAAGGGTAGGCAGATAATGGATGCATCAATGCTAGCAAATGAATTAGTGGACTGCAGGGTGAAGCAAAATCTACCTGGAGTCTTATGCAAGCTGGACATTGAGAAGGCTTATGACCATGTAAATTGGTCCTTCCTCCTGAAGATTTTGAGAGATATGGGCTTTGGAAATAAATGGATCAACTGGATTGAGATTTGTATATCTACTGTGAAGTTCTCCCTTATCATTAATGGCAATCCCGAAGGGTTTTTTCAGTCACAAAGAGGTTTGAGACAAGGTGATCCTATGTCACCATTCCTATTTATCTTAGCTATGGAGGGCCTCAACTCCATGATCAGGAAAGCAAGTGAGAATGGGTGGATGCAAGGGTTTTGTGCAAATGCAAATAGGGGAGAGGTTATGGAGATCTCACACCTGTTATATGCAGATGACTCTTTGGTTTTCTGTGGAGCTGAAGTTAATCAAATAAGACACTTGAGGGCCATCTTAACCATCTTTGAAGGAATATCAGGATTGCATGTCAATTGGCATAAAAGTTGTTTATACCCAATTAACCAGGTGGCAAATATGCAGGTGTTTGCTGAGAATTTAGGTTGTCAGGTAGCCTCCCTCCCAACAAAATACCTTGGAATGCCCCTTGGTGCAAAGAACAAAGAGGTGGAAGTCTGGAATGAAGTACTAGAAAGATGTGAGAGGAAGTTGTCAAGATGGAAAAGTCAGTATCTATCCTTGGGAGGCAGAATAACTCTTATCAAATCAGTGATGGATGCACTCCCTACTTATATGATGAGCTTATTCCCAATACCAAGAAGTATAGAGAAGAAAATCAACAAATCAAGAAGAATCTTCCTGTGGCAGGGAAATAAAGAGAAGCTTGGGTACAATCTTGTTAAATGGGATGTAGTGACACTAAACAAAATTCAGGGTGGTTTGGGTATAAAAAAGTTGAGTACGCAGAATGTCAGCTTGTTAAAGAAATGGCTATGGAGGTTCTGTAGTGAAGATCTGGCTTTGTGGAGGAGATTCATATCACATAAATATGGTCTCCAAAACAATTGGATCACTGAAGAAGCAAATGGTACTTTTGGATGCTCTGTTTGGAAGACAATCAGAAGACTGTGGCCATCTTTTATCCCCAATCTATCCTTTAGGATTGGGAATAGGGTGAAAACCAATTTTTGGAATGAACTCTGGTTAGGAGAAGAGAATTTGAAGATCATGTTCCCAGATCTTTATATATTGAGTCTACAACAGATAGACACTGTGGCACAGGTGTGGAGCCCTCAAGGTTGGGATTTGATCTTTAGGAGGGCTTTAAATGACTGGGAGATTGACAGAGTAGCAGAATTACTACAAACACTTAATGCATTTCCAGGTGTCACTGAAGGTCCTGACACTCCAATCTGGAAAATACAAAAGAAAGGGATCTTCACTGTGAAGTCTTGTTACTGGAGTTTAAATTCTAATCAAACTATGGAAATGGAATGGCCTTGGAAACTAATTTGGAAAATCAAGATCCCTCACAAGGTTTCAGGTTTCACTTGGTTGGCAATCAGGAAAGCATGTCTATAACCCATGAAGTGTTACAAAGAAGAGGTATACAGATTTGCTCAAGGTGTTACATGTGTGGGGAAGAGGCAGAAGTTAACAGTCACCTTTTCTTACACTGCAGAACAACTGTAAATCTGTGGGACATGTTCTTATGTATACTTGGAGTTAACTGGGTAATGCCCAAGACTACTTTAGACTTGCTGAGACAGTGGGAAGGAGTGGGCAGAAGAAGAAGATCCAAAGAAGACTGGTGGAAGTGCATCCCAGCCTGCATTTGGTGGACATTGTGGAAGGAAAGGAATGAAAGATCACATGATGGGAAACTTAACA